AGAGAGACAGAGAGAGAGAAAGGTCCACACTAAGCCAGCTGAATTCAAGAACGCATATCTCCATTTTGGCACACTGAACCAACATTTTAGACCGAACTGTCTCCAGAGTGACGACTGTGGTCGTGCATTTTGGTGTTGATGGCGATAATTAGATTAGAGAAAACGAGGAAAAAATGATAAGACATTAAATGTAATACAAGGGTCCCAGGCCAGGCACGAACAAGGGACAATGTAGTTCATGTGCCTTAACCCCTGGGCCACCGTTGTGACCCATGATCATTTTAAAATAATGAATTTAAATCATTTTAAATCTTAATATAGCTGATGATACAATACAGGTGTTGTCATCACCTGTATTCATGTTGATTTTGTCAGACAAATTTGGAATCAGAAAGTAGTGAATAATTTAGTGCAGTACACTAGAGTACTGTTCTCCTTGTTAACAGTTAGCATTTATGACCTGCAGACTTCTACTTGTTGAGTTGCTGGACAACAAAAAATAAAAATTGTATACAAATCAATTGTAATTTGAGCTGTATTAAAACCCAGAACAGCTAACCAGCTGAAACCTAGCTAAATAACTGCACTGCATGTTTCATACTGCTAACCAGATATTGGCTGTGATGCACAGTTTGCCAAAACAGGATGGAGAAGAAGAGATTTTGTCATTTGTTTTGTTTACTTACTGTTCAAGCATTTAAGTATGGATGGGGATCACCACAAAAATGGATTACTGTGGAGGGATACAAGGAGAGACAGAGACAGAAACAGGCGGGAAGGGGGGGCCCACTCCTACCCTCACCAGTCACCTGGCCCCTTGAGCACGGCACCATGCAATATTCATCTTCAGCCAGTCAGACAGTGAGCCAGCCAGGCAGTCAAACGGGCAGGATTCACCCCAAAGGTGCTTTTCGTTCTTCTCCTCTCAATTTGCTCCACAACCGCACCGCCGAGTCTCGGCGCTTACAGACAGATCCGTGTCTGTCAAACTCTGCAGTGACTATCAAAATCTGATCTGAAGGGGCCTCCTCAACAACCCTCCCACTCACTCAAAGAGCAAATGCGCCATTAAAAATGCACATCTTACCAGCTCATCTCGTTTACCTAATGCATATGCATCATACCTCCGGGACCAAGAGAAATGATATTGCAAGCGATACAGAATATCCTTCATCAGATATACAATTCAGATTTCTTCAGGAGGAGGCTGGTGGGTTTTTTTCCCCTGTGCTACCATGCAGACTGAACCTTGGGAAAGTGTGAAACAGATTCAGGACTTGTTGAAAGACACCCATCTGGATGCTGATTAGACAGCCATCTACATATTCTCACCGTCTCTCCCCATCTCTCACTTAATGTGAAATCAGTTCAGCCGTGCTCTTTGAGAGTAAAAAACAATGACGCAACATAGAAAGTTCACCGTGCTACCAGTAACTTAAGCACAAAAAGTGGGCCTGGAATTAACACCGATGTAAACTGCTAGAAATAGATTGAAAAACAGAGAGAGAAATCATTAAGCCTGAACAATAACACATAATCAGCTGTTGGGAGATCAGTGGAAGATCTAGTGCTTGTGTGTGTATTTGCGTGGGGGGGTGTTGCCTAAGTGAAATTAATCATTAGAGCTTTTATCTGACTTTCTTCTGTGTGCAACCCAATTTATCCTTAATTTTGCAATTACACATCTTAGAATAAATTAACCCCCTTGGCAATTCCAGTGTTAATGTTGCAGTGCCCTGGCATACACGAGAAAAACAACAACTGAGAGTGCAGGCCTATTTTTAGTGTTGTTTATTTCTAAAAAATAAATAAATAAAAATCCACATTTACTCTGGGGCATATGGATGATCCTCTTTGTTTAAAGCCTATTCAATAGTTATAGAGGCAAAAACATCCTTCTGGAAAGAAATCAATGGGCCTGATGTTGGAGGGCGGTATTAAAATCCAACAATGACCAGATCTGCACAGAGCAAACCTGAGTTGTATCGAACCAAGAGAGGCATGCAGGGAGGCCAGGCTCTGCCAACCTCCAGAGCTCTGATCAATAGTAACAACTCAACATTCATCCACTGCTGTCTATCTCTCACACAGGCTACAGTGGACTGCAGGATGCTCAGACTGCAAGCACAACTTGACTGATGCAAAGGGAAAAAGAGTAATAAGGAATATTTACAGTTGAGAATGTGAAGGGGCTGGTACTATGGTAGGTACTATGCTTGCAATGAATCGATGAATGGATTATAGCATCATAAATTATTTAATACTTCTCCCTTGTCAATGGATCTACAGGGAAACAATTTGTAATGCCACAATCCTTATTAAATTTGATAAAATCACTCAGTACATAATAAGATTAAATGTGACATGACCGAAATAGAAACTGACAGCAAGAGGGATGGACCATATAGATAACATCTTTTATGATGGTGTTTGTCATTTTATAGAAAACCAGATACAGTTTAAAAAAAATTACTGAGAAACAGTTTACAGATAGATTGGCTGTTTTCATTCCTGTAAGGGTCACTGGAACGGATAATAATAATAATAATTATTATTAGTATCATCATCATCATCCCGCCATATAGCAGACCTGCTTATTGTTTTGCAACATTGGTCACAATGGCCTAAAAAAAGAGATTTTAAAAAAGCACCTACCTGAAAAGAAATAGCATGACCAAATATCTGGCAGCTGACAATTTTCATCATCTCCCTTTATGTGTCCTTATGTGTCTTCACAAACCTTAGTTGGCAGCTTGGCTTGTGTTCATGTGTGTGTCTGTGTGTGGAGTCTACCTGGGGTTGAAAGACTGGCACGGCTGCTTGCTGTCCTTGTGGCTGCGTGTCCATATCCATGGTGTTAGGAGCTTGATCCTTTGCACCTCTGAGAATAAACAAACAAAAATAGAACCTCTGCTTAGTCGACTCAGAGTCGACAATCAGACAAAAAACTGCGCTATCATTTCCTTTAAAAAAATACCACTGAACTCTACAATAACATTTCACAACAAAAAAATTATAATCTCAATCAGCTGCACAACTGTTCTCTGTTGTTCAGCAGCAAACTATTGAGTGCTTGTTGCTGCCAGAGTGTCCTGTTTCCGCAGAACAGGATCCCACGTCATGCCTGTGCATTTGACACTCTTTGTCTGGGTCCTTCTCAAGTTGCAGCATGGCAAAGTTACAGCACGCAGCAATATTAATCTGAACAAAGCAGAGATAATGCCACTCTGTGGTTCCTTGGCATTCCTCCAAAGAACCCTTTCATGGGAATTACAGGTTTAAACAATTCCACTTTATTTCCCGATTTCCGAGAAAATATAGGTCACACCGAGGTGAGTGTGTTGGGTATGGGTGTATGCCATGGTTCTGTATAATTGCATGTTCTGGCTTGTAGCCTAGAAGCAAGCTAATTGCATAAGATATTCCACCACCAGTTGCTTGGCTTATCACCGCACTTAAAAACAGACAGTGCCATAATATGAAATGTTACCTGAATGAATAATTTACACAAATCTTTGAAAAAAAAAAGGAAGTATGATGCAAAAATTATATTCACACATGCAATTAGCTTATGATTCCAGAGTCTCAACTCATGTATGTGGGAAGAAGTCAGATTTTGACAGATGCTCTAGTATCACTTGAAGTGAACACTGTAATGCACATAATATGGTTACATAGTCGGACAATTAACACCAATTTACTAAGAATTTACACAGGATACAATGAATGCATAACAGCATCATGTGTCAGCCTCAAGTAAACACATATGTGAGGTGAGGAGTTGGCAACATACAAAATTAAGTCAAGAAAAGGTGTGCACACATATCTGCTGTAACGCTTGAGACACACACAGACACAAAGACACACACACACA